TCTCCACGTGGAGACTCGGACCCTCACCACCCTTCAGGCTTTCCGTATCGCCATTAAGACCTGGCTGTTCCAGCAGGCCTGGGGCTGCTGAGTTCCATCCCCCCTCGAACTAGAGTGCTTGTTGAGACCTTTTTAAACCGTTTTGTATTGTTGTCTGTCTTTTTCTTTCCCTTCTGTATGATGTCCTTTCCCTCCAGGTTTGTTAGCCGCCCTGAGTCCCTCGGGAATAGGGCGGCATACAACTTGAATAAACCTCTAAACCTCTAAACAGGCTCCAGCTGTTCTTCTGCCTCACTGCTGTCTAGCTCCCTCTCTGCCTCCGACACAGAGCCCTCGTCTGAGTTTTCCTCAAACCCCAGGACTGGCCCATGTTCCTCCCCAACCTCCTCACTGTCTGACTCTGCTGTCAGCTCCGCTGGCTGCCAGTGGGCCACAACACTGGGGCTACCTTGAATAAAATCCCTGTACCAGGGAAGGGAGAGGTGGGAAGAGGGGGAGTGAAGAAAAATAAATCAACCTGAGTTGGTTCTGGAGTGTATCTCTTTTCTCCCTTAACTGGCTGGCTTCCTTTCGCTGAACTTCCAAATCCTGCTGGAATGCGCATATCTGACGCTTCAAGGAAGTCGCTTCAGCTTCGTAGGCTTCAGACAGCTTATCCAACTGTGAATGGAAAAAGAGATGCTGGAGACTTGGTACAGAGGCTCACCTCGATTACTCTATTTGAAATTACAGGTAGTCCTCGACTTACGGCTACAATGGAGTCCAAAATTTCTGTTGCTAAGCAAGGCAGTCGTGAAGGGACTTTTGCCCCATTTTGCTACCTGTCTTGCCACAGTGGTTAAGTGAATCACTGCAGTTGTTAAGTTAGTAACACAGATATTAGGTGAATCTGGCTTCCCTGTTGACTTTTGCTTGTCAGAAGGTCGCAAAAGGTCATCCACATGACCCTGGGATACTGCAATCGTCATAAATATGAGTCGGTTGCCAAGCGTCTGAATTTTGATCACGAGACTGAATCTTGATCACTGTTGATGCTGTAACGGTTGTTAAGTGTGGGGAAACGGTCTTAAGTCATTTTTTTCCCAGTGCCGCTGTAACTTTGAATTGCCACTAACTGAACTGTTGTAAGTTGAGGACTACCTGCCCTCCCTCTTTTCCAGAGAGCTTTGCAACTTACTTTATTCTATGCCTTTTCTAAAAAAAAAAAAGCATAGTTTCTCAACATGATTTGATGAGAACCATGGTTACAATGCAGTACTGCAAGCTGGTTCTGCCCACTGCCAAGAGTTCAATCCTGGCAAGGCTCAGTGTTGATTCAGTCTTCCATCCTTCCATGGTCGGTAAAATGAGGACCCAGATTGTTGGGGGGGCGGGGGAAATATCAGAGGTGGGTTCCTACCAGTTTGCACCTATTCGGCAGAACCGGTTCGTCAAATCTACCAAACCGGTTAGAAGATGTTC